AAGCAATGAAACTTTGGTTAAGACAGGCTGTTTGGGGAATTTTTATGAGAGGCATGCAAGGGATCTGGAGAGATAATTTCACCAGAAAAGCCTTGCACACAGGCTGGAGGACCTGAGTTTGATTGGGAGCACCCTCAGTATAAACTAGGGAGGTGATGGAAATTTGTAATCCCAGCCATGGACAAGCAAGAGACAGCCAGAGTCATGGAGCTGTCTGTCAAGCTAATCTAGCCTAACTGCCGAGTTCCAGAAAAATGAGACACCATGTCATAAAAAATAATGTGGATTCATCAAGGGAATAAATCATGGTCATAACATTTTCCAAATTAATTTTAAAAACAAGTATTTAAAAATTACAAATCAATGGAGAAAAGTGGGGAGCAGATTGAAAGCTCAGTGTGAAAGGGTGTTGGCAGCCTAGCCCAATGATCTGCATTTGATTCTGGGAACCCAAATGGTGCAAGGAGAAAACTGACTCTGGAAAATGTTTCTCTCCTTCTAGAGACAAACATTGTCTGTCAGTCCCCAGCTAACAGACCTCCAGGGCGGTGAACTCTCACCAGGGAGGTCAGTTTACATCAAAGTGGGGATTGATGGCCACACATCCTGCATCTCACCACTTCCCTGTCTCCTGCCTGGGAATCAGGGAGCATGGGTGCAGTCTTGTGCTGGGACACATCCTGTCCTTGGATAGGTACAAGAAGAGAACCCCCACTTCTGCCATGTGGGCTCTGATGTCCTGTGTCTGTCTCTGGTCCCGAGAGCACAACGCTGCTCTTCCTGACTGTCCCTGGAGCTATCAACCCTTTTTCTTTTTTAAGCACAAATTGCTAAACAGTCTTATTAATAAAAAAAAACCCAGAGCCAGTTATTGGGGTGAAAGCTGAAAGATCAGAGCATTAGAACAAGCCAGCCACTACCTCCTACCTCTAGAAAATCCTCAGTCTCAGGACAGTGAGTTTCTGTTTCCTCACGCCTTATAAACCTTTCTCTGCCCAGCCATCTTACTTCCTGGAATCAAAGGCATATATGCTTCCCAAGCAAAGGCATGAGATCTCAAGTGTTGGGATTAAAGGTGTGTTTCACCACACCTGGCTCCGTTCCCAGTGTGGTCTTGAACTCACAGAGATCCACACAGATCTCCACACAAATCACTGTCTCCCACTGATAGGATTAAGGATATGTGCCATCACATTCTGACATCTATGTCTAATCTAGTGGCTGGCTCTGTCCTCTGATCCCCAGATAAAATTTATTGGGGTGCACAAAATATGGCCACACTTACTAATCATGTCTCATGGCATATCAACTTGATGAGTCTATTAAGAAACGGTCCCCAATTTCCATGAGACTAGAGAAGACAGGAGGGGTCCTGGAGAAGTCACCCGGGCTTCTCCTGACTGAAGTGAAGTCTCCTGAGGCAGCTGTGAGATGTCTGCAGACGTGTAACTGGATCCAAGCCTCCTGAGGCTGAACTCAGCAGCAGCCATGGTCTCAGTAATCTTGGCAGCTGGGGTGGTGTCTCCTCTGAGCATCCCTGGTGTGTTCACACCAGCAGGCTGCCAGGATGATGGTCTGACCAGTCATCAGTGGGAATATCCATTCATCATCTCCTTCTCCAGACACCCGGGCACAGGAAGGAGCCTCAAAACTGTTATTCTAGTGCTCACGTGACTTGCCAAGTCAATTTTCATTGTTCAAAAGGAAGAAAAAGCAAAGGAGCCCACAGCAAAGACTTCACAGCACCAACATTCTCAACAACATTTAGGTCAAATCCCCTCAGGGTGAAGGAACATTACTGTTGGAATGGGGAGCAGACATGGGTTCTAGCATGCCTACCTCTGTTTGGGATTTGTGTTCCCTGGCCTGAGCCAGTCAGTTAAAAGAAGTACTAGAGGAAGCCAGGCAAGGTGGCCTATGCCTGTAATCCAATGACTGACTGTAGAGATAGCAAGACCATGAATTAGAGGCTGTCATTAGTACCTACTGAGCTTGAGGTCAGCCTGGGCTACATGAGACTCTGTTTCAAAACTAAACAAACATCAAGCTAACCATAAATCCAGAGTCAGCAAGGTCATGGAGGCTGGTTATCTGTTAGTTCACTTTGGTAGGAGACAGAGAACTTGAAGATATCACCTGTTTTTTCTTTAGATTCTCTCAAACAAATCATGTGACTATTTATAGTTTCATTTAAGCAATATACAGTGTTGAAGAGGAAATTGGGAGTTTCTTCATTTCTGTGACCTGAAACTCAGTGACATGTAAGTTTCTGCCTCCGGCCTTGTCTATCTGCAGAAGATGGAAGAATTCATGCACAGGAGCAGGAGACTGAGCTGGTCACCCAGCCCCACTCACTGGGCCTTTAGTACTATATAGAGTCTCTTCTTGGGGCTCCCCTGGCAGGGGTGCAGGGAGGTGCTCATGCTGAGGTTGGCAGCACATGAGGGAGATTTGTTTCAAAAATTTGTTTTTTGAAACAGTAACTATATAGCTGTTGCAGGCATGGAACTGTATATGTAGATCAGGATAGCCTGGAACTCAAAAAGATCCATTTGCCTCTCCCTCTGCCTCCCCCCCCCCCAAAAAAAATAGAATTAATGGAATGCATCTTTATGTTCAGCCCACCTTGTGTTTAATTACTTAAAATTACACTTCCTTCTTTATTCTGTGGGAGCAGGGCACACATGTGCTACAGTCTGAGCAGCAGCCAGGTTCTCACACTGCAGTCTGACATTCCCCATGGTCATATGTGTGCAGAAGCCCTGTTTACACCCCAAAGCCCCAGGCTGCTCTACCACAGAAAGCGTCCCTCCCCTTTGAATGCATCATGGATACATGGCCCAGTCACTGTTAATGGGGGAAATGGAGTTGGCACTGCAGGAGACTGATTACAGCATCCTAGACAGAAATCATCCCACAGCAGGGTCCCTATGGGGATGCAACTGGGTTCAAGACTTGAAACTAGAACACAGACCTCGACCTGGGATTCAGGGGCCAGCAGGTGGCTCCGTTGAGGCTGAGCACAAGTTGCAACTGGGATCCTGAAGGATCAAGGAGAGCAAGTTGTGTTCAAAAGCTGGTGACCAGCACCTGACATATGGCAGCGTCATCAGGTCCAACCCTATTGGTGACTTAGAAACCGATGTCCTTTTACCCACAGACCCCAGAGAGTAGGGCAAATGAAGCCTGGAGGTGAGTATCCATGACCAGGAGAGCCCCCTCTCAGACCTCACTGAGGTGAAAAATGTGATTGATCTGGTAGAGTGATCACCTGCCTGGCACACACAGAACCCTACGTTCTATCTGCAGCAGGAGACAAAGGGGCATGAGGGGCACACCTGTCATTCCATCACTTAGAAGGGCAGAGAGGAGGATCTGTAGGAGTTTGAGGTCATCATTGTCTACACAACAAGTTCAGGGCCCAGCCTGGGCTACATCAGATCCCATCCAATTAAGGGGCAGGTGGTCTTTCTGACATTTAAAATAGGTCCCATCCCCTCTCCTGACTAGCCATCTGGGGCCAACTCATCCCAAAGGTCTGTGTCTCTGAGTCTCCAAGGGCAGCATGGATGGATACAGAAGTGTGTCCATGTGCACCTGGGACTGAGGCCATGACTGGTTGTGCCTGGCTAAGGTCAAGGGATCAGAGGGCCATGAGGACTGTGAGGACTGTGAGGACTGTGAGGAAGGCAGAGACAGCAGATGTGACAGAGGCGGCTGCACAGCCACCTGCAGGGAAGCATGGAGAAGGCAATCAGTGCAGGAATCTAAGGAAATGGGAAGTCGCCTCTGCACATGTCACTCAGGGAGAATGATGCCTCTTCCTCTGGTACAATCTTGTCTACCATGGAATTGATGGAACCCTGTCATGGGGAAGGGGAAGTATGATGCTCCTACAGAACCAGCCCTGAGTCCAGACAACCCCCCTCAATTCTCACCGCTTCACTCCAGTTACAGACCAGCTGTGTCCACACTCAGAGATGTCCCAGACAATATGTTATAAGGGAAGCGTTGAGGGTCTGACTTTTCACTGCTCACTTCATTCAAAGAAGGTTCTAGAGCAGCCACAGCTAGACGGAGTCACTCAAGTGCTTTGTGGGAACAGTCTCCTGGGAACCCAGAAGCAGATCCCTGGCCTTTGAGGGGAGTTCAGATGCTGCACAGAGCAGGCAGGACTGCAAGTACTTGATGGGACAAAGTCCAGTCAACCTGCCATGTGGCAGTCATGTGACATGTGCCAGGGCTTCTCTGATCCTTGGCATCCTCTTCTGAGGTATGTGAAGGTTGGTGGGACATAGAAAGTCTCCTTCAGAAACTGGAGTAGTTTTGGAGTCAGTGTCTAGGGGAGGGAGATGATCACCCAGGAAGCCCAGGGCAGTTACAGACTCGGAAGCAGTGAGCAGGCCAGGGCGAGAGTGTCCACTGGGCCTTGGTTCTGCCTGGTGCTGTGAAGAGTCCCTGAAGGACAAGAAGAGGACAAAGAGCAGATGGTGGTGGGGACACAGAGCTAGGGCTGGGACTGAATGTGTTTCCTCATCACCTCCATCCTCGCTGAGTCTGAAGTGAGCAGAAACTGACCACTTCTGTGCCTGAGGTTATTAGAGAGAGGGGGAGACAGGGAAGGAGGGAGGGAAAAAACAAGGAGAGAGAGAGAGAGAGAGAGAGAGAGAGAGAGAGAGAGAGAGAGAGAGAGAGAGAACTAGCATGGTGGGAGACATAATGAGAAACAGAGGGGGAGGGGAGCACTGGAGTGGAAGAAATCTGGAGGTGAGGAACCAGTGATTACAGGCCACATGGGAAATAGACGAGACTGGATAAGACAGGAGGTCAAAATGGAAGAGAGGAGTGCCTGGCCTGGTGAGGTCAGTTCTGTATCTTTCTGGCAATAATCGGATCTGGGCTCAAGGGCACGGCCATCCAGTCAGTGGCCACAGGGCAGATCTTCTGCAGCATGGGAAAGAAGGAGCCAGAATCATGAAGGAAGTTGCTGGTCACAAGGAGGTGGAGATGGGGAGGTCCTGCCCCACTCTGTCCTTCACATGAGCAGGCCCTGGGGTTGTGTGCCCCTTTACACTGATTCTTCCTGACTCCTGAGCACCCCAGGGTCCCTGCACAGGGTTCCTCTCCTTCCTGATGGCTCTGCTGGTCTCACTTCCTGGAGGGAATCAGGCCATGGCTTGGATCCTGCTTCTGCTGATGTCAGCTGCATGTCTGCAAGCTGGTGAGTGGTGGGGACCTTGTTAGCAGGGACTCTGCCCTAACCACAGGAGGGGCCAGTGGGGCTGGGAAGAGCAGACTGTCGTGTGGACAGGGGTCTGCTAGAGGAGCCAGCCAGTGCTGTGTGCCCCAAGAGAGAGCTCATCCTCAGAGTGGGTCCAGCCGAACACGTCCTTGTCTGTCCTGTCCCATTTGGGACAGTGGAACATAGGGACAGTCCTGCCCTGTGTCAAACACCCTCCTGTGGGTGAAGGCTTAGACAGCCCTGAGTTTTCTTTTCCATTCCCTGAGGTGACTTCAGATTCTCCTCATCCCTTCCAGGTAACTCAGCAGGATCCAACAGAGAAAGACGTTTTGGGGTCAACCAACCAGCAAACCTCTCTGGTGTCCAGGGCAGCTCCATCGAGATCCCCTTCTCCTTCTACTTTCCCTGGGAGTTGGCAAAGGATCCACAGATGAGGATTCTCTGGAGATGGAAGCACTTCCATGGGGAATTTATCTACAACTCCTTCTTGGGTTTCATACATGAGCATTTCAGGAAGCGTTTCATCCTGAACTGGACACAGCCTCAGACATCCGGAGTCCTCAGAATCCTGGACTTGAAGGAGTCGGACCAGACAGTGTTCTTCTGCCGAGTTAGTCTGAACACAAGATATGGCGTGGAGGTGTTTCAGTCGATTACTGGGACCCAAATCACCATCACTCCTGGTGAGCACATCCCAGGTCAGGCCCTTGTGGTCCTGACTTCCTTGTACCACAGATGTCATTAGAGATCCTACACTTCTGGTCCTTCCCACAGACTCCTCTCATGTGTTCTGACCCTCCCCAAGGCTCTGACAACTCCACCTTTCCTCTTCCCCACAACCATCCCCAAGCCTTAGCTGCTCTCTCTGAGCTGCCCCTCATTGCCCTCAGATCCACCCCACCCCCAGTCAGCTCTTCCCAGATGGCCCAGTCTCCTGCTCCTTTCTCCAAACTGACTACCACCCTGCCCACCCCACCCTCGTTGACACAAATCCATGTGGATCTGGCCTCTCCAGGACGGAGCAGCCTTCACCTGGTCCTGTGTCAGGGTCTCCATTAGGTCTAGACTTTACACCATATCTCGTGCCTTCCACAGTAGGTGCCTTCTGGTCCCGGGTACCCTTCCTCCTCTGGGTCCCCCCATTTCACCAGTCTCTAGACACATCCCTCATGGCTCCCTGCCCCAGTTTCTTTTTTCCCTCCCTCATTTCCCTCTTCCTCTCCTCCCTCCCCGTCCCCCATCTTTCCCACACAGACCCTCATGTTCTCACCATGATCAGGTTCTCTGGTCATTTTTCCTCCTCCATGGCAGCTGTAACTGCAGCTTCCACACAGAGTGCACACAGGCCCAGCCTAGTCACTGTGTGGACATTACCCCGGCCACCTGTCACCACTGCTGGGCACTCTCATGGTCATTATACAGAGAGAGACAGGGAGACAAGCAGATTTCCACCCCTGCCCAAGGTCATGCTTATTGGAGAAATTATTTTGGCCACTCCACGTAGTTAAAAGGATATTTATTAAATGGCGTAACTCACAAATTAA